CGCTTTGGAAGGCTAGGAATTTAGTGGTGTTCGAAAATTGGAATTTTGACAGCTCTACAATGTTATTCATTTGCAGATTCAGGCTGGCCACATGGTTTTTAGCTAAATTTCCTAAGGCTAATTTCCAGGTTGATTTATTAATAAGGGATTCACGGCTTGCAGACAATATAGCTGTCAATTCTATTAAGAAGGATCAGTGCTGGTTCCCGCCTCCAACCGATTTTTATAAATTCAATGTAGATGTGGCAGTTAGACGGGATGGTTTTAAGGGTGGAATTGGAGGTTTGTTGAAAGATTCGAATGGTTCTATCTTGATCACTTTTTCTAAGGCTGTGGGACCTGGTCATCCTTTGTTTGCTGAGTTGAAAGCTATTAGAGAAGGCATTGATTTGTTTCTTAATTCGGATTAGGTGTTAAAGGGAAGACTTATTGTGGAGAGTGACTGTAAAACAGTAGTGGGTTGGATTTTGAGGCCCTTTGCTGCCCCTTCGTTTTTTTGTTATCTGGTTGGGGAAATTGCGGATTTAATTTCCGATAGAGACATTATGGTTAGGTTGGTTCCTAGGGCTTGTAATTGGGAGGCTGACAAGTTAGCTAAGGACGGGATAGGTTGAATGTCCTTAGTGTTATAATGGTTGTTTGGTCTTTTATTTCGGGTTTTCTGTAATCTATAGTCTTATGTAATTTTCAGTTATTAATCTACTGAGGTACTCTTTTCCTCCTTCTGCTAGTCGCCTCTTCTCAAGAGGCAACTATGAGGGAGGTTTTTAATGAGACCTCCTATTCCTATAAAAAAAATACATATCATTTAATCGAGGAATGGGAAACTTTTATTTGATGGTAATTTTATTAATTACACGTGTATCCACACACATCCTTCAAGATCCTTCCTTCTTTGGAGTAACATTGGACATGCACAAGAGCTCGAACTTCATGCAGCGAACCCTTTTAATTATTAAAAGAAGATAATAATAGGTTGTGGCAATAAATATTCCACAACTAATTTATATTAGGGTTACAAATAAAGTCTTAATATAGCCCTAGATTTAAAAACTAAAGAAAACTTATAAGCCATCCAACCATCCATAATATGTATAATACCTAATAAAATTGAAATAATAAAATATTATAAAATAAATAAAGCTCCTGTGTCAAACTCTCGGTTTTTTAGCATCTTGAAAACGAGCTCCATTGCCTTCTTAGTTATGACTAATACTAGTTTTAATATCATCTTAATCTTTTATGAAGTTTAACCAAACTCTTGTATATGTTAAGTGCTAAATCCCATAGTAAGGTAAAATGCTTGATAAATTATTTTAGAATATTATGCACTAGTAGAAATTACTGATAATGTTATTTAGATGCTACTGACAACTTAAAACAGTCATGCAACTTGCCCATGAAATGGAACTGCCCTATAGAATCAATGTTATTTGTTGAGTTGCTATGTAGAAGTACAATCCCAAATTCAATAGTCGAGTTACCGATAGTAAAAAGCTATTTCTATGTATAGTGAATTCAGTTGTGGACATCTAAATCTTATAAGTAATTTAACCTATCTCATTAATAAAGCCTATTTTGTTAGATTCATTGTAAAATTCGTACTATCATCTTTTGTACCAGATTACTTTTGCTTCGATTTATCTTATGTTAAGCACATATCAAAGAGTATACTAATTATTTATTGTTTGTTTTAAAATTTATAGTCGAAATGTATTACATGAATGATTTTTCTTTAAGAAAGTACTTAACTTTTTGCATCAAGAAAAAGTTTAATTTTACTAGGTGAAGCCATATGTATGGTTCATTTTGGTATCATGTATGTGGGTTAATCCTGGGATTGTTTTTGGTATTATCAAATAGAAATATGATGCCAAAGCTATGTATGTTGTCTTGGAATATTAGGGGGTTGGGCAAAAAAGAAAAACAGAGAGCTGTTCAAAAAATAGTTTATGAGAAAAAACCAACGTTTCTTTTTTTACAAGAAACAAAACTTGAGATTTTACCAAGATCTTTTTTAAGGAGAAGTGGGTTGAGTAAGTTGCAAGGGGTCGTTGAGTCACCAGCAGCAGGTTCTTCAGGGGGTATTTTAAGTTGTTGGGATGATAGTTTTTTTGAGAAAGAAGATCAGCATGTTCACAGGAGGTTTATTGCTATTTTCGGGAAGTTCAAATCCAACCAACTTAGATGTGGTTTCATAAATGTTTATGGTCCATCTGTGAAAGAAGAAAAGGCTGGTTTTTTGAAGAACTGGGACTGTTTTTAAATGGGTTCAGCATTCCTTTTTGTGTGGGAGGGGACTTCAATGCATATTTAACAGAAGAAGAGGAGGGTCGTTCTCATAACAGGAATTCTATGGAAATCTTCAGTCTTTTTATTCAACAAACGGGGCTAATTGATCTGCCTTTAATTGGGGGGAATTTTACATGGAGCAGCAACTGGGATTATCCCACTGTTGTCAGACTTGACAGGTTTCTGGTTAATGTTAGTTTCTCTGCAGCATTTTCTGGTATCACTCAATCGTTATTACCTAAATTCATTGGATTAATTGGTCGACAGATGCTCTGCCAAAAGTGTTGGGGGTCTTGGTGTTTTGGATCTTAATTATATGAATAGAGCTCTCCTAGGAAAATGGTCGTGGAGATTTGCTAATGATAGAGAGTCAGTGTGGAAGAAGGTTATTTGCTGTAAGTATAATCTGGACACTAGATCTCTGTTGTTCAAGGATAAACTTCCTGCACATGCTTCTTGGATTTGGAAATCGGTAGTTCAATATCATTTCAAAGAGGATCAGTTTGGAGCTAAGTTTCGAAGTATGTTCAAAGTACGGGTGGGGAATGGAGAGAGCATCAGTTTTTGGTTTGATAGTTGGGCGCTTGATTTCCCTCTTAAAGTAGTTTTCCTGAGACTGTTTGTTCTGTCTGTAAACATGAATGGAAAGCTTAATGAGTTTGGAGAGTTTCGGTCATCAGTTTGGTCTTGGCATGTTCAATTGAGAAGAAATCTAAGTGACTGGGAGGTGGAACAGTTTTCTGATCTTATGGCGATAATTCACAATATCACTCTTTCTCATGATTTGTCAGATGGGTTGGTTTGGAAAGGGAATGGGGAAGGTATCTATTCTGTCAAGTCCAATGTGAAGTCTTGCTGTCCTGTTTCGATAACAGACTCCTTTTGGATGAGATATATTTGGAGAGGTTTAGTGCCTCCTAGAGTGGAGATCTTTATGTGGCAGGTGGTGTATAATAGATCGGCAGTAAAGCAAGAATTACAAAGGAGAAGAGTTTCAGCTATTGTTGATGTTGCATGCCCGTTTTGTAAAAAGGGTGAATCTTCAGCACATTTATTTTTCACTTGCACCGTGGCATGGACTCTTTGGAACAAATTTCTGAAAATTTGGGGAGTGTGTTCGGTTCTGCAGGACAATGCTCAAAGTTTTATGGTAGCTTGGGAAGAAATGGTCCTTAATTCTAAAATTTGGTCATTTATTCCGGGAGTGGTTATATGGACGATTTGGAAAACTAGGAATGACATTGTGTTCGATGGGGGAAGGGTAAATCAGATGGAGTTATTTTTATGGCAAGATGTAGGTTGGCTACTTGGTTCTTTAGCTAAATTCAATGACATGGCTATTCTAAAGGACTTTCATTTCTAATCCAACTCTTGGGGACTGTTGTTCTAATTCAAGGTTTTCGATCATCAAAACTGTGTCTTGGTCTCCTCCTCCAAAGGGTTTTATAAAATTGAACGTCGATGCAGAAGTGAATGGAGATTGTAGGAAAAGTGGTGTTGGGGGCATTCTAAGAGTTGAGGATAGCTCGGTGATGGGTTCTTTCCAAGAGGCAGCTGGTCCAGGTCCACCTCTGTTGATTGAGATTATGGCAATAAGGACTTATCTTTCTTCGGTTTGATTCATCAGAGGTTTAAAGAACGCTTAATTGTTGAATCAGACAGTAAACTAGCAGTGGAGTGGGTCAAAAATTATGATTGTTGTCCGTTTGTCTACAAAGCCTTTGTGAAAGACATTGTTATTTTGTTAAGAGATCTTAATGGTATTATTAGATGGGTTCCTAGATCAGCCAATGTTGAGGCTGATAGCTTAGCTAAAGCTGGTATTGGCTAGTTACACAGCTTTCTCTTAGGCTTTAGTTAGGATTTGGGTTGATTATTGTAAAGGGTGTGTTTGTTTTTAAACATTATGTATCTTTCGGTTTTTAATGAATTAAGGCACTCTTTTTCTCCTTTCGCTGATTAAGGAGCACTTTGTGCTCCATTAATCATGAAGGAGGTTTTTAACGAGACCTACCTTCTTATAAAAAAAAATGCATTGCCTAAGAGAAAGAAACCAGGAAAAACTGCATTTTTAATTGTATAGAGCTGATTTTTCCCCATAATCATTTATAAATCTTTGGAAGAGGATAGTTTTGTTTGGAGGACTAGTCCAAACATTTATAATAAACTATCACCTCTAACCGCATGGTGATCATCGTATCTTACTGTGCAAAGTTAAATGAAATCCTTTAGGATGTTCATAATGCTTTCAATAATGCAGAAAGTTCACTCCGTGTTGATTTAACTCAATTTCATGGTTGACTAAATTATGTGAAGAAAAAGCATGCTACTATATATATTACAGTCGACTGATGTGGTTGAGATTCTTCATTGCTTGAAAATAAGATGTGGCTGAGGTATTCATTAATTCTAAAAACATGTTCTCTCCTCGTTCTAAATTAATGGAGTTATTTGGAAATAAACAGTTGGTTTTTTAGTCTTTTCATGTAGTTTGGATGTTATACATGTAATATAATATTGAAATTGCGAGGCTCATCAATAGTTGGAACTTGACATCTTTCTACTTGTGCAGGCCTCAAACATTTTGCTTTCTTGCTATAAATTATAGAGAATAAAAATGCCCTCTGAAATTTTATGTTCTGTCAAGTTTACTTTAATTCTTGTTTTTCTCTGTTGAATTGAAAATTTTGCTGGTCTCTACATTGCAGAGTTTGCTTCCTGGTCAGAACTCTTCTACAGTGGTGAAAAGCCAACTTAATGAGGTAATTTTCTTTAAATGATTTTGGTTAGAGTATTGGTTTCCAAGTTTTGATTCCTTAATATACATGATTTTGGGATCATCTGTTGTCTTCAAGGTTGCCATTGATGGATCATCAAATGCTTCTGCTACACCTACAGTCAAATCAGGGCCACCAAACGCAGAAGCAAAAATTAAGCCATCAAGCGATGTACCTCCTCCATCTTTGGCCACAGAAGAATCAATCTCAGAATTCCTTAATCAAGTTTCAAGTCTAGTAAAGTAAGCTTTTTATTGTCGAATTTTGTTTTTTTTTTTAATTCCCCAAAGTTTACTCAATTTAATTGTTATTATATGTTTTCTTCTAGGCTAGTTGATTCACGAGATATTGTGGAGTTGCAGCTTAAACAACTTGACTGTGAACTTATAATCCGGAAAAAGGTGGCCTTGCCCCAACCACCATCTGCAGCTCCAGTTGATATGATGCAGTCACCCTCTCAATCACCAGTAATGCCTACAACCCCATCTGTCCCTGCACCTCCGCCTCTTGGTCAAGCATCTGCTGCCCCAACTCCAGCACCTTCGCCAGCTGCTCCTAAGTCAGCCAAATCATCACTTCCACCTCTTAAAAGTCCAATGGCTGGTACATTCTACAGATGTCCGGCTCCTGGTGAACCACCATTTGTGAAGGTGAACAGTCCATGTTGGTTTTTATTGGATTTTAATGGTGCTGCTATATTGTCTATCCTGTAGTTGATTCTCTTTGGCTCTTTGGACTGAAGCAAAATGTTTTCTCTGTAGGTTGGAGACAAAGTGCTGAAGGGTCAGGTGTTATGCATCATTGAGGCAATGAAGTTGATGAATGAAATAGAGGTAAGTTCATATTCTTTCTGCCTAGAATAGATATAATGATTTGTCATACAAATACTACCCTTCATTGACATTTTCTCCTGTTAATATTTTAGAACTTCTATGTATAAAATAATGTTGATTTATTTAGGTCTGAACTTTGAAAGAAATTTTGAGATGTAACTCTAAAGCGTTCGAAGAATGGGGTGTCTTAGTTTACATGTCAAGTTTTACAAGGAATGGGGACAGGAATTTGATAACAAATATGCCAATGAAGGTCTCAAGGTATCTCTAATCAAAAAAAAAAAAAGGTCTCAAGGTATCTTTTTGCTTATGAGAGCCAGTGATCACCCTAAAGTCATCATGTGCTTGGTGGTCCAACCTGCCAGGATACCAAGTGCCCTGCAAAACCCCTTAGCCTGCTTGCAGCATGTACGCACATGATGTTTTGTGCTGCTAGTTTTGAAGTTAATAAATTTCCTACTAACAGCAATAGCTTTTAGTCTAGTAGTAGTAGAGACTTGATCCTTAGAGGTGTTAGAGTGAGGTTGCAGTCTCCCGAGCATCACTAGGGAATTGAGGTGGGGTGAGATTGTTGGATTATAGGAGGTAGTGACCACTTTTCATCAGGTGCTTGACAGCCCAACCCATCGAGGTACCAAGTGTCCCTAGCAAAATCCCTCAGGCCACCTGTAGCATGTAAGGATGTTGGGTTTTGTGCTAAAAGCCTACAAACTTAGAAGGAAATAAAATTCCTGCTAACTAGCAGCGATTACTTTTGAGTCTATGGGTTAGGACTTGATTACATTTTAACTTTGACAGGACTTGATGTTTATTTTCCTGTGAGAGGAAAAATGTTCCAAACCATATTTATGAACATGTTGCAGTTTTTATGATGGATTGCAGTGGTTGAGGTTCATTGCATGCATTTGTGTTCTGTTTTGTATGATATACTGCGAAAAATACATGAGTAGCTTTTGGCTTAAACTAGTTGGTTAGTTGAAGATGAGCTAGCCAAATATAGGCGAGACAGTGTCCGGATTAGCCTTTCTTGTTGGAGCACTCTCAACAACTAACCAGAAAGCTTGCATTTTGATTCTCTTTGGTGATCACAGCCCATGGTTGCAGCGGTAGTAGTGGCCGAGTGTGATGTGTTATACAGACCTTAATCAAGAGAATGGTTTTTTCGTAACCACAGTTTATGAAATTGTCAAAACTGTTGCTTATGTCACTTAACTGGAAAATGCTTATTTCTTTAGGCTGATCAATCGGGAACCATAGTTGAGATCGTTGCAGAAGATGGCAAATCAGTCAGCGTTGACACTGTGAGTATTCTTAACTGCCTTGAATTCAATTATGGCAAACAAGAATCCTTTGCATTGAAGTACATTTGATTCTGACATTCTTGTTTGTAATCCTTTTGCAGCCTCTATTTGTGATTGAACCTTGAAACCAAGACTCCGAGTAGGCAAAGCCGAAACGATGGAGTGTAGGTTGAGTTTATGGTAAACGTTGTGAGATGAGGCATTGTTTTGTTGTGATATAGTGATTTGGCTCGAGTTGGTAGAGATGCAAATAACCTGTTTTCATAATGAAAATATTTATGATGAAAACCCTTTTACACTTGAGTGATAAATTAGTAGCAGCAGCTTCTCTCGATATAACTCTACTTTTATATTCGTGAATGGCCTTTTTTCTTTATCTGAATCTCAGTTTTAATTTTGTATTTTGCTGTCTGATAATTACATGTATTAGTGACAGCCTTAAGTGTCTCATACTTGAAATTGACAATAGTTTTTTCTTCTGTTGTTTTTGTTGTTTTATCGGTTGAAAAGTCCTCTCTTTCTTTTCTTTGATTCAAACTCATCATAAAACCTTATATTCTCTACAAATTCTAATAAAAAACTAAAAGCTAAAACTTTATCGATCTTCATTGTCAAAGAACGTCGAATGGTGACACATAAACAAAAAGAAGTTGATAGTTATTAATTTGAAGAAAAAAAGTTGACTACAATGATAGTAATGAAAACGAATTAACAATTTAATAATTGTATTACAAGATTAAGAGGGCTATCAGAAAATCTTTCGTTTCCACCAAAATATTAGAAAATCTGATATGACATCTTAATATGAAAGCCCAAGATTCACAACATCCATACAACCTAACTTCCCGAAACCCAATAGCAATTTTCTAGAAATTAGGCCTAAATCTGCGTTACTCTGCAATTAGGAATGTAAACAGTTGAACTTTAATATTATTGAGTTTGATGATTCGAAAAGTTTAAAATTGAATTTAACTCGACCTGAAAGCTTGGGAGCTTAAAATTATTAAGTAGACTCGAATTCAAAATAAAAATTAAAACTCGACTCGAGCTCGAAAAAACTTAGAAGTCAAAACATTCTCAGACTTAGCTCGATTGAAGCTCAAACATGGGTTTGAACTTGAATTTTTAAGTACATGAAAGCTTTATATTGTATATATATATAATTTAAAAAAACATATAAATGTAATATTAGTAATAATTATTTTTTTTTAAAAAAAATTAATATATTATTTTTTCGACTTGCTCACGTGATTTTCGTGTAGGGTATCAAGTAGCTCACTTTGGCTCGTTAAAAATTTGAGTCGAGTTCGAGCTCGAGTCAAGTTCATCCGATTCGAATGTTGACAGAGCTTTGTTCTAGTCGAATTCGAGTAGCTTACGATCTGTCTCATCTCATTTACAATAATACTCTATAATTCAATGTTTGGATAAGTAGCATTTTAGTCCTTGAAGTTATACACTCTTCCTGTATAGGTACCTAGACTATTTTATGTCCACATTAATACTTGAACTTGTCTACTCCTACATTAGTACTTAAACTATTTTTTAGTCCATATTACCACCTAAACTTGTCTACGTTTTTCGCCTTGATATATTTTATAACAGTTTTTTTTATAGTTTTAATAAATTTTATATATTTTTATAATTTCTATAAATGCTTACAATTTCTTATAGTTTTATTTTGGAGTGATGATGTGGCACAATTTTTAGAGTGCCACGTCACTCTTTATTATCCTTTTACAAAAAGGATATTAATGTGGGAAAAATAAAGAAGATCAAGTATTATTGTGGATAAAAAAATTAGTACTAATATGAGAAAAGCAGACAAGTTTAAGTATTAATGTAAACTAAAAAAAGTTTAGATATTAATTTGAAAAAAATAAACACGTTCAAAGGTTAAAATGTGACTTATGCCTTTAATATTTGTTTAATTACTTAGTTCTCAGTAGGGATGAAATTTACTACCAAACCGACAGATTTCGATCCGATTCAACTCAATAGGGTTGGTTTTTTTATTTAAAAAATTGGGTTCAATTCGGGTTGAAAATTATATAGGGGTGAGGTCGGGTTGGGTTCTAGTGGAGGGTGAAAAATCTTCGACCCGACCCAATCCTGGAGTAATAGTGTAATTTTTCATATAAAATTATAGATAATTGTTATAATACTCTTCTCTATAGTTTTATTTAATTAGGTCCTTATTTTAGATTGGATTAGGTCGGGTATGGTCGGGTTGGATTTATACTCCAAAATATGGGGTTAGGTCAGGTTTGAGTGGAAGAAATATAATCTTCGAGTCAGATCGATTGGATAGAAGATATATATTTTTTGGATTAGGTCGGGTTCAAGTGGAGATATATATTTCGGGTTGAATCAAATTAACAAAAAAATCTGCCCCAACCCGAAGTGATGCCGTCCCTAGTTCTTTATCGTTTGTCAATTGAAAATCGAAAAAGCATTTTAGACCCGAAAAATCAGAAAACATTTTAAACTAACGATTTTCAGTGAGTTGGTTTAAAGGAGAATTTTGAAGTCCGAGGTGAGTCAAGAGACATGGGAATGTACAGTTATCAAAGTGAAATTCTAATAATTTTACTCACTCATCCTTAATTGAAGCGATCAACAACTACTTTTATACTTCTTCAGAAAATTAATGGGTAAAGTACACAAGTGGTCCCTCGACTATAAGATATTATTTTGTTGAGTTCTCTGACTATTAAAAGTTATAAAATGATGATCATCTGAATGTTGTTTTGTTGAGTCCCTCGACTAGTAGAAGTTACAAAACGATCACATGACTATTCATATGTTTCAAACTTGTCATTTTCTGTTATAAAATTGACGACAATTTGAGCTGGATGTTAACGTGTTGACTTGGATATGATAAAATTTGATCCATGAATCATTTGAGTGGTATTTTATGGATTAAATCTTCGTTTACATTATGTTGTTGAGTCAGTGCTTGAAACATTATATTGTCGAGTCAGTATTTGAAAGCAACGATATTGACAGTAGACATCATTAAAATATAATTTTATCATATCTTAGTCAACAGATTAACTTCTACTTCAGACGGCTGTCAATTTTTAACATAAAAGGATGAGTTTGGAATATATAAATAGTCGTGTGACCATTTTGTATTTCTTAATAGTCGGGGGACTCAACAAAACAACGTCATATAGTCGGGAGACCATTTTATAACTTTTAATAGTTGAGGGACTCAATAAAGCAATACCCTATTGTCGGGGGACTATTTGTGTGCTTTACCCACAATTAATTGTTGAGAGCACTTTAGTTTATATTTTTTAAAAATTTATGAAATAAAAAAAATATAATAAAATTTTAAGATTTTACAAATTTTAAAATAAACTAATTATGTTAATTAATCATTTCTCTCAAAATAATAAAACAAGAATATATAATGAATTTGTGAAAATCAAATCAAACAATTAGAAAAAAATTATGGGTAAATTACATCGTTCCTCACTAGAATTTACTCTCTCTCTTATTTTCTCACTGTACTTTCAATTTTTCTAATTTGCTCACTAAACTTTACGAATTGAATCATTTTGCTCGCTTGATCGTTAATAATTTGACGCTGTTATGACGTGACTTTAATAAAAAAAATTGAATTGTTACAAATAAATAAATAAAACACGTCAAAAAAATGAAAAGTAAAAAAAATTAGGATAAATAATATTACCCAAATCACTTATTTACCAAAAGCACGAGAAGGTCAGTGTGGCTTCTCAAAATTCCTCCCAAATTTGTGTTAGGGTTTCTATGAATTCAGGGGTTTAAGGTTTATATGATTTGAAGGTTATAGGGTTTAGGGGATTTGAGTATTTTGAAATCAATCGAGGGTTTGTGAGAACTGATTCTGAAATCAATCGAAGGTTTAAATAATTTTGTGTGTTTGAAAAATCGAAGGTGGGTGTGGATCCGATATCAGAAGCATGGGGAGTCTTGTGTTGTGGTTGAGGGGTATGACAAGTATGTTATACGATTAGTGTTTGAAAACCAATTTATATGTTTCAATTGTTGTTTCAATTGTGACCCATATCTAGGGTTTTTGAAAACTACTATAAAAAATTAGGATTTTATGTTATTTCATTTAGTGTTTTTCTTAATTTTTGTTTAAATATGAAATGTATGATCGATTGTGACCCACTTTAGGATGTTTTGGTTTAGACTTTAGGTTTATGTGTTTTGCTTTGTTGTAGTTACTGGTACTGTTTGGGTTAATATTGTAGAAATGGTTTATGTGTTATCATTTATTTATGACTGCTATTGTTTATGTGTTTAGTAGGGATGGTGTTAGTGAGGACCACACATAGGGGTGGGAATAGGCCAAGTCGGCCTACAGGGGCCTACGACCTGGCCTGGCCTGACCTATTTAGTAAAATGGCTAGGCTCGGGCTTTTTTAAAAGCATATTAAATTAAATAGACTAGACTTAGGTTTATTAAAAAGCCTTATAAGCCTGATAGGCCGGCCTATATATATTGATATATACTTATATTATTTTTTTGGTACCAATATAAATGAGCAAATACTAATTGAACCAAATACTAGGCAGTGACTAAAATGAAATAATTACACATATTGTGACCAAACTCAATCATAAACAAAAATGGTATAACATGTAAACTGGTGACAAAAATATAAATGTGGAAAGATAAAGGCTCAAAACAAAATAAACCCTAAATCTAATATATAACCTAAAACTTAAACTAAACCCCCATCTCTTTCTCTCTTCGTTCTCTCCTTTCTACCCAAATGCAGCAACCGACCATTCTCAAGCCAAGGTTAAACGCGCCGGCCACCGACCCACGACGTCCTCTTTGCTTCGATTGGCCATCCCGAACCGACCGAGGAGTCGAACCAGTCCTAATCAAGGCCAAACCGAGACCCCAAGTAGACCCTTTTGTCTTCTTCCTCACTCAACTTAGAACTGAAAAGCCGAACCAAACAACTTTCTAACCCGGAGACTTCAACGCTGACGAAATCTCCAACAAAAGGTAACCACTCCTCACTTTCTATATATATATATTTTTAAAAGTCTGCTTGGAATCGAACGAAAGTAAGAAAGAATAGAGAAGAAAAATTTGCTTGCTTTGTTATATTGATAACGCGTTAAAAATGAGGAGAGAATCCCCTTACAAGTTACAACCGTTTGTTTTTTTAGTTCGAATCGGGGGCCTCTCTTACATTTTTTGAATCAGTGTGAGAAAAATGGAAAAATGCTGAGAAATTTTATTGTTTTCTCTATGCGTTCGGTGATTCCAAAGTATGGGCAAGGGATGGGCGCTGTTGTCGGGCATGGTGTGGCGTGGGGAACAACAAAGTATAGGAGCTGCTGTCGGGCAGGGTGCTTGCGTGGGGAACAACAAGGTATGGTCAAAAATTGTCCTAACCAAAGCTCACGCAGTTTCACTTTATAACATAAATTCACTACCACATTCCAAAACTCAATTAATTGAAATTCCCCACCATATATATATATATATGTATATATGATGAAAATGCCAAACCATGTTGATGCCATCATTTTTCTCATTTGTATAGCCACCCGATGACATAGCATGAATCAATGAATATGTTCATCTAAATCTAGCTTATTTTCCTATTCCTTTTAACGTTTCCTTTTCCTATTACGTTTGTTGAAGTAAAACAGAGAACACAAGTAACAAAAATTGCAGAGCAAACAAAAATCGTATCCTTTTCACTTCAAGCTTTGATAGAGGTAAAACTTCAAAACCTTGCCACTTTTAGTGCTGATGATAGAGTAATTGATGAATTTCGTTCTAAATTAAACGAAGAATCTGTTGAAGCTCTAATTTGTGGTGGAGATTGGTTTCGTCGGAAATATAATGTGAAGAAAAAATCAAAGGTTAATATTACTTATTATAATTTTTATAAGTAATATTTAATCATTTTTTAGTAACTTGTTCATTTATTTATGTAGTGTTTTTCAGTCCAGTAACTAACATATATGTATTTCTCTTCTTATTTTGAAGGCTGAAAAAGAAGAGATACAAATCACATTGAAGTTTTGATTGTCTTGTCTGGTTAGAAAGCTTGCATGTTACATTGAAATTCTTATGGTGATTGTGTATGATCTGGAGGAGCTAATGATGAAATGGCGCTACTATTAATTTTTTTGGTAGATATTTTATGTACCAGTTCTGTTCAAATGGAATGGAGATGTAGGCTTTTTTTTGTTTGTAATAGTTAATATGTTGGTTTGATAGACTTGGATGATGCTACCTCATAAGGTTCTCTTTTGTTTTGGATTATTTTATATCATCTGATGATTTCAGTTTATATTATTAATATATTTGTAGGACTACCAACTAAATTAACGTTAGATTAAAAATTAAGCCAAATTATATATATTAAGGCCTTGTTTAGCCTATTATAGAAGGTGTGCTTGTTTTTTTTGGTGAAGAAGGCTTTTAAAAAGGCTATCAAGCCAAGCCGAGTCAAAATAAAAGCCTTTGATAGGCTGTAGGCCAGACTTAGGCCTAAAAAATTCATCGTAGGCCAGACTCGATCCTTTTAAAGCCTGGCCTGGCCTATTCCCACCTCTAACCACACAGAAAATGTTAGTGAGGACCACATAGAAACTGTTAGGGAAGACCACATTATTGTGAAATCAATTTAATGCCTTTTGTTGGATAAAGTTAATGAGGACCGCATGCATTTACTGTAAAAACTGTTAGGTTAATGCATTTATGTGAAAACATGTACATGTATTTTTTAACGCTTTTACTGTAAAATTGTTAGTGAGGACCACATGTATCTTTGCTTTTGATATTGTGTGTTTGGGCTCAATAACATATACAATATGAATTTTGACAACTGCATTGTGAAAATATGTGCATGTATTTTTTAATTATTTTTTTATTTTACAGCCACATATTTAAAGTGATAGGGAATAACATATATAATATATTTTTTAATTTATTTCACATCTACATCTTCATAATACTGCACAATAGTGGTTCACAATGGTGGACATCTTGTAAATCACCCCAAAATAGAATATATTGGTAAAAAATTGCCTTCTTTTATATATGTCACATTGAATCTATGTCAATGCTAGATTTATATGATATGGTTAAAAAGTTAAGATATGTTGGACCACATGACATGGATTAGAGAAAACCAAGGGTGCATTAATTATTAAAGCACTGAAAACTGATAGTGATATGTTAAGTATGTTAGGTAATATGCCTAGGAACAGGTATGTACATGTTTACATAGAAGAATCAATGGAACGCATACATGAAACAAATGTTGCTCCCATTGAAACTGAACCAAATGTGATTATTGAACATAATACTGAAATTGACTTGGCTGATGGTGAAATAATTAGGAATATTGAAACTGTTAGGATTGTTGAAACTGTTAATTTTTTTTCTAATAGTGAGGATGAAGATTTAAAATATTTAGCTTTTGAGAGTCAAAGTTTTGACAATTTGTTTGAGGATAGTGAAAATAACTTGGCTGATGGTGAGGATGAAATTTGTGATGTGCCTATGGGGTGGATAAGAATATACTTGGATTTACTATAGGGAATGAAAGTGATGGCCTGGATAGTGAAAATGAGGGTTCAGAGTCATTACACAGTGCATATGACTCTGAAACAGAGGGTAATAGCAACAAATACCTTGAGTTCAATAGTGAGGTTGATCTAGAAAAACCCCAAGTTTAGCTAAAGAATGTTATTTCCCAATGCAAAAGTCATTAAAGAAGTTGTGAGACAATATGGACTAAAAAATAGGTACAATATCAACTTTAAGGTAAAAAATAGGTACAATGATCCTAGAAGAATCCATGTTGTGTGTAAGGCTGAGTGCTCATGGATGATTTGGGCATCAAGATTGAATCCCAAAGTTGAGACATATACAACTTGTAACACACCCAACCCGTACCTGACCCGGATACAAATCCGAGGTGTCACATTGACTATTCAAAGCGTTTACATTTATAGAAATCATGGAAAATTTAAACTTTCATTAAAATAAAGTTAACCATTTACATAAGTACAATAAAAATATTACAAAAACTTATTAGAGCATATATAAATCACAATTTGTCTACATGCCAACACATTTGATACAACAAAATACATACTGTGTTATTTACTTCTGATCTGATCTCTGGTGGGGATATGCTGTTATGCAGATCCTAAGTCTGATCCTCTTACTTCTTAGTTCCTACATGTAAAACGCTTACACGCTAAGTCACAGACTTAGTGAGGCATAAAAATACAATAATGTATTTCCTAAGAATATGAACATGCAATCTAATTATTTAAAATAAAATCACAACTATAATATCATTATTTAATCATGTCACATATGATCCATCCTGAAAAATAATAACATGATAGCATATAATAACGTAACCACTTTTTATATCTTTTATAGGCCCATGTACATTACTGAGAACTTAAGGTATGCGAGTACATTGAAGTTGTGCACATATGCTGTCACCACAGCTCGTATAAGGGTCTACTAAGTGGCATGTGAAATTTGTCCCGAAGGACCTCATGTATGTCCCGAAGGACCTCATATATGTCCCGAATGACCTCATACAATCCCTCGACTCTTAGTATGCCAACTATACTTATAGCTCTCATGTCACATAACACGGGCTTAAATATTTATATGTTCCATATCATCACTAATTCATCATATGTTCATGTACTCATATCATTTCTCTTATAATCACATATGTCTTATCACATACCATGTATCACATGTACATATAATCAATTATATCATATCATATAGCTTATGTCAAAACATATAAACATATAACACTTATGCATATGTTTATAATAATCATAATATATGCATGTTCATAACTATTGAACCATGAAATTTAACATAGGAAATAGAATTATCACAAGTCTTATTTCCATTAACTACATCTATTCTATAAAATGCACTCACCTTAGCCTCACTTGATCCCAATCACTTCTATGACTTACTTTCTCTCTCTTGATCGTTTCTAACTCCTTGGTTGTTTCGAAACTTGCTTATGCTCAATATGTACACAATCATACATTATATATATATATATCATCATTCTAAGTATCATAATTTGATCCTTAATAATCCAAGCTAAGAGAAAGGCTTTATACAATTTTCCACTTGAGTAGTATCGATACCCCTTCAATGGTACCGATACTTCCCTAGCTGTGGTATCGATACCAAGCTTGGGTATCGATACCCATTTTCGATTCTGTGATCCTTATTTTTAAAATGGTATCGATACTAACCTAATCGTATCGGTACCCTTAGTATCGATACTACCCCTTAGTTATCTATACCCTTTAAATCACTTGTCAAATTTGGGCTTATGGTATCGATACTGTTCAACCAGTATCAATACCCCTACTCCAATATCCATTCATTTACCCTTGAAGTATCGGTACTGAATGAAGCAGTACCGATACTCATAGCCCAAAATTTACTTTTAAAACCCGAATATTCACCAATACCAATCTAAACCTTCCATTTTAAGCTCCTATCATGTCATTAAACTCAATTACCCTTACTCAAATCAACTTATATCCATATAACCCATAATTATCTTCAAAATCTCATCCTATATCTTGAAATCAAGATTCCTATCAAATTTTCCAACATGTTCTAATTTCAATTCTATCACTTCATACTTCTTAATTTAGCTTATGACAAGTCAAATTTAGTTTCAAATTCTACTTATTAACTCTCTTCCAATATTTCACTTATAAATCCCTTATCTTTAATCATTCCTAACTAATACAAATCAGCTAACAAGAACTCACCTTTTTCTAAATAGCTTTCATGCTTGGAGGAGGAAGAAGAAGAGTTCTCTGGAACTTTGATTTTTGTCTTCCTTCAATCCACGTGGTTATAATATAACCATTATCAAATTTAATTATCTTCTTTCCCAAATGACCATTTTGACCTTCTATTCATCATTATTTGTAATTCAATCCTACATAGAAGTTTCCATATAAGCCCCCTAATATTTTTAATTTATCTACTTTATTCATTAAATTCTAAAATTTTACAATTTGGTCATTAACCCGGTGTTTGGGATGTTGCAAATCTCCCCTTAAGAAAATTCATGCTCGAATTTTCATTGCACAAAGAGATTAGGGTACTGATCCCCCATATCCTCTTTATGTTCCCATGTTGCTTCCTCTATCTTGTGATTCTTCCATAACACCTTGGCCAATGGAATAGTCTTGTTTCGCAACTGTTTCACCTCATGAGCCAATATTTATATAAATTATTCTTCATAGGTCAAATCAGGCTGAACTTCTATCTCTTCGGGGGTCACAATATGGGAGGGATCAAACCTATATCTCTGAAGCATAGAAACATGGAAAACGTTATGATTTTTCTTCATTTCCAATGGCAAAACTAATTGGTATGCCACTGGTCCTATTCTCTTAACGATCTCATAGGGCCCAATAAACCGTGGACCAAGTTTTCCTTTTCATCCAAATCTCAACACTTTCTTCCACGGAGATACTTTTAGAAACACTTTATCTCCAATTTGAAACTCGATTTCTTTCCTCTTGAGACCATCATACGATTCTGTCGATAGTTATTGCTCTTTTCATCCAAATCTCAACACTTTCTTCCACGGAGATACTTTTAGAAACACTTTATCTCCAATTTGAAACTCGATTTCTTTCCTCTTGAGACCATCATACGATTTCTGTCGATTAGTTATTGCTTTCAGATTGTTCTGAATCACTTGAACTTTTTCCTCCACTTCCTTAATCAACTCAAGACCAATAATTTCTCGATCCTTAAGCTCATACCAGTTCAAGGGAGTACGACACTTTCTCCTATATAAAGCCTCATAGGGAGCCATTTTTATGCTTGACTGGTAGCTATTGTTGTAAGCAAATTTGGCAAGTGGCAAGTATTTTTCCCACTATCCCTTGAACTCTATTAGACATGCTCTCAACATATCCTCTAGAATTTGGATAATCCGCTCGAATAGTCCATCAGTCTGAGGATGAAACGTAGTGCTAAATTTCAAGTGAGTTCCTAACGCTCTATGCAAAGTCTTCTAAAAACCTTGATATGAATATATGATCCCGATCAGAAATAATAGAAGCATGTACACCATGTAATCGAATAAACTCCATGATGTACAATTCAATATAC